CCCAGATCTAAAATCAGATCCAAGGCGGGGGGGGGCCGGGGGGGGGGGCGAGGGAGTGGGGGGGGTTCAGCTCACATCCAGCTTCTCCTGCAGAGACGATACAAGGAGAGAACAAACTCCTCTCCCCGTGCTGAGCTCTCAGGACTTACTCTGAACCTCCCTACGTACCCACAGCGGCGCCAGCTCCCGTCACCAGGCTGGACGGACGCCCCCCCAGGGCTCACCTCGACCTGGGGTGTGCACCTTCTGACCCCTCCCTCCGGCTCCCCCGCCCCCACCCCTCCTCTGGTCTCTTTTTTCTACGATTTCGGCTTTCGTTTCGTTTTAGATCCCACATAGAAATGAGATCACGCGGTATTTGTCTTTTTTCTGTCTCTGGCGTGTTTCACTTAGCGCAGTGCCTTCAAGGTCCACCCACGTTGGCACAAATGGGAGAATTTCTTCGCTTTTTAAGGCTGAATAATATTCCATTGTGTGTATACCTCATCCTCTTCATTCATCCACCACGGACACGTGGGTTGCCTCCGTATCTCGGCCACCTGCTTGGTAAATTCTGCAGTGAACGTGGGGGTGCAGGTATCTTTGGATCAAAATGGAAATGCTGGACCATACGGTCGTTGTATTTTTAACTCTTTGAAGAAGCTCCCTCCTGTTTCCCACAGTGGCTGCACCAGTTTGCCTTCCCGCCAACAGGGCACGGGGTCCCTTTTTCTCCACGTCCTCGCCAACACACCTGTTGTTTCTTGTCTTTTTGATTCTAGCCGTTCTGACGGGCGTGAGGTGGAATCTGAGTGTGGTTTTGATTTGCATTTCCCTGATGATGGGCGGTGTTGAGCATCTTTTCACGTACCTGTTGGCCATCTGGTTGTCTTCTTGGGAGAAGTGTCTGTTCAGGTCCTTTGTCCGTTTTTTAAAAAAAAAAATTTAATGTTTATTTTTGAGAGAGTGAGCGAGAGAGAGAGAGAAAGAGAGAGAGATGCATGGAGTGCGAGTGGGGGAGGGGCAGAGAGAAAGGGAGACACAGAATCTGAGGCAGGTTCCAGACTCTGAGCTGTCAGTACAGAGCCCGACGTGAGGCTGTCATGAGGTCATGGCCTGAGCTGAAGTCAGACACTTAAGCAACAGAGCCGCCCAGGTGCCCCTGCCTTTGCCCATTTTTTAATTGAGTTATTTGTTTTTCTGCTATTTTTTAAAAAAAAAAAATTAGGTTTATTTATTTTGAGAGAGACCCCAAGACAGTTGGAGTGGGGGAAGGGCAGAGAGAGCGGAAGAGAGAAAGAATCCCACAGCAGGCTCCACATTGCCAGCGCAGAGCCCGATGCAGGGCTCGAACCCAAGAAACCGTGAGATCGCGACCTGAGCCAAAACCGAGAGTCGGATGCTTAACTGACTGAGCCAGCCAGGTGCCCTTGTTTTTCTGCTATTGAGTCGTAGGAGTTCTTTATGTATATTGGATACTGACCCCTTATCAGATGTATGGTGTGCAGATAGTTTCTCCCATTCCACAGGTGGTCTTTTTGCTTTGTCGATGGTTTCCTTTGCTGTGCAGAAGCCTTTTGGTTGGACGTAGCCCCACGTGTTTATTTCTGCATTAGTTACTTGAGCTTTAAGTGTCCTCTCCAAGAAGCCATCACCAAGCCCCACGTCAGAGAGCTCTGTGTCTGTTTCCTTCCAGGAGTTTCTTGGTTTCAGGTCTTATGTTTAAGTTTTTGGTCCATTTCAAGTTACTCTTTGTGAGTGGTGTGAGGTAGGGGTCTAGTCTCGTTATTTTCTTTGCGAATATCCACTTATCCCAGCGCCATTTATTGAAGAGACTGTCTTCTCTCTGTCAAGTATTCTTGGCTCCCTTGTCAAAGAGCAGTCGACTCTCTACGCCTGGGTTCCTTTCTGGGCTCTCAGTTCTGTCCCATTTTTCTGTTTGTTTTTATGCCGGTACCATATTGGTTTGACGATCGTAGCTTTACAGTACGGCTTGCAATCAGGAAGTGTGACGCTTCCCACTTCGTTCTTTCCCTGAGTTCCCGGGTCAGCTGAGGTCACCACTTTTGCTTTGCAGATGGGCAGAGCCACAGGCTGTGCTCTGTGTCCAGGTGCTGCCATAAACGGGGCTGTTGGGTGGGCTGCACAGTGTCCCGTGTGCCTGGCATGGTGGAGACGTGTTCCACAGTGAGCGGGGCTACAAACTAGTATCCTGGCCTGGTGTGGCGGGAGAAGCAGCTCTGAGGCTGGTAAAACTCATTCCTTGTTGTCTTAACTCTGGCCAAGCCATGCCCCTAGTTCCCTGGGTGAGCAGGTGCACTGGTTTCCCTCTGCTGGCTTTGCCTGCCCTTGTCCTGACGGGAGCACCCACACAGAGCTTCCGGCCGGGCTCATCAGATGGGGCAGCAGGTGGGGCTAGGGAGGGCAGCTTAGAGCAACTCTCAATTTTCCAAACACACCTTCCATTGGGAGGAGCTGGGAGCTGGCCTTGGGTTGGCTGTGGATTAATCCTCTTGCTTATGCGCAGCAGGGAAACCCTCCAGTTGGGACTGGCTTTGCCCCCCCGGGGTGATTAGCCTGCCCGGCCTCTGGCCTGGAGGGTTTCGGGGTGTTCCAAGTGGCTGGGAAGTCCCCTGCACAGCATGTGGGGCTGGGACGCAGCTCCCTCCCTGGGCAAGCCGGGCTGTAAGGCCGGCAGAATCCTTTGTTTGGGGATCCAGAGCAGGCAGATCTGATTCTGCACCGACCCCTGGTGAGCGTGTGTCACTGGCTTTGGGGATTGCGACGTGGGCCCTGCGGGTGTGGCCCGCGTGCCCCGATCTGTGCTGGGTGCTTTGGATCGCCCCCGCCCCCCGTCAGAGCCGGAGATGTGCCTGCAGTCCTGTGGAAGGAGATCAGAGGGAGGGCGCCCAGAAGGGACTCGGGGGGGGGGACCTCTGGTGGTGGCGCGCTGGCCCGGGGAAGGGGCTGGGGGTCAGGGTGTAGCCGCTGCTCTTGTCCGTCCGGCGTGGCCTGTGTTGGTCTCTGCGGTGTGAGGGTGCTCTCGCCTCACCGCCCCCGTTCTTGGAGTCATCGGTGGTGTTTTGCTCATGAATACTTGGTGGCTCTGCTTTTGGGGACGGGCAGTGACGTCAGCAAGGACCTCTGGTGCCGTCTTGGTGGCGTCACTCCCTCCAGGCGTCTGCGGGTTTAGCACACAGAGCAGGTGCGATGCAGGTGGTCTGACACGCACGGGACGCTGGGTGCATTTGGACCCTCGCATTCCACCTCCCGTATTCAGGCGCTGTGCTGGGGGCTGGGGACAGTAAGGTGAATGGATGCCACCTGGAGTCCCAGAGGGACCGTCAGCCCTTCGGGCGGCAGAGACACAGTCGGTGGCAGTTGTTAAGACGAGGAGGGTGGGTAGGGGTCGGGACCAGGAATCAGCACGTGGACTCGGGTCAGCCTGGGATCTGAGGCACCAAGGGGTGGGCCCGTGGGAAAGGCCACCTCGGAAAGCCAGCGCGGGGGCCACCGAGATCGGGCAGGGACGGGCCAGAAGCCAGGGCGCAGAGAGGGAGGAAATGGGCCCCCGGGGTAGCTTCCCCGAGGCGTGGGAACCGTGAGGAGGAGGGGGGTGAGGGAGCTCACCGGTCTCCTGGCTCGTTTCCGGAATGGCCTGCTCTCTCGTCTGGACCTGCTATGGCACGTCACCCCCGCCTGCGAGGCAGTGGGAGTCGGCAGCCCCTTTAAAGACGCCCCCTAGGTTTTAGGGGGGGGGCCTGGGCGGCTCGGTCAGTTGCACATCCAACTCTTGAATTTGGGTCAGGTCATGATCCCGGGGTCATGGGATCGAGCCCCACTTTGGGCTCCGTGTTGGGTGTGAACCTGGTGGCCCGGAGTGTGAGAGCCCGTGAAGGAGGGGATTGGCGTGTGGGCTGTGGACTGGTTGGTTCGCAGATGAAAGTCCATCACTGGCCCTGGGGGGGGCAGTCTCTGGGGGGAGGGGCAGTCTCTCCGGGGGGGGCAGTCTCTCAGGGCAGGGGGCAGGACACCAGGTGTCAAAGCTCGAAGGACTCCTGGCTGACACCTGCTTAGCGCGGAAGGCAGAATGATGCCCCCCAGAGATGTGCACACCCTGACCCCCAGAGCCTTGGAAAATGTTCCCTTCCGCAGCGTAGGGGGCCCTGCAGACGTGACTACGGGAAGGACCTTGCGACAGAGGGGGGTCTCTCTGGCTGATCGGGTGGGCCCAGCGTCATCACAGGGGTCTTACAGGAGGGAGGCGGGAGGGTCAGAGTCAGGGAGAGACGTGAAGGTGTGGGGTGTGGGAGCAGGGGTCGCAGAGGAGGGATGCGGGCGCTGGCTGGGCTGGTGCGGGAGGGGCCGGGAGCCCATAAACGCGGCAGCCGAAGAGCCTCCGGAAGGACCCAGCCCTGAGGACGTTCCAGACTCGCGACCTCCCGAGCTGTAAGAGGATGGTACCCGCTGCTCGAAGCCGCTGAGGTTGTGGTGGCTGCTGCAGACAGGGGACGGCCACTCGTCCTGCTGTGGGCTGCCGCGAGGCCCGGGGCCCAGTAGGAAGGCAGCCCGGCTCCAGGCAAATGACAGGTGTGTCGCGACATTTCCCGTAGGGACCTGGGGAGTCCTACCCGGTAAGGGCCCTGGACACATGCACAACCTTGCTCTGTGTGCCCGTGGATGTTCGGTAAATCTCAGGCTCCCCGTCCCCTCCCCCACTTGCAGGGACGGCGCGTCGTGGCCCCAGGACCGTGCGCCCCCTCAGGCTGCCACATGGGCCTCGCCGGCGTGGGGCTAAGAGGCGGGCCGGGCCGGAGTGGGAAGGTGCTGGATGCCGGCCGCTCCTCTCCGAGCTCCTGGGGGGTTGGGCAGCCGGGCCCCCGGCCGGCCGTCAGCACGCAGGCCACCGTGTCCCCGGCACCCTCCGAAAGCTGTCCCCTCTGGCCTCTCACAGGGACGTTCGTCTCGGCCTTCGCCGTCCTCTGCGGAGCCCGCACCGACCTCCCGGACAGGCACGTGTGCTGCGTCTTCTGGCTCAACATCGCGGCGGCCCTCATCCAGACCCTCACGGCCATCGTCATGGTGGGCTGGATCATGAGCATCTTCTGGGGCATGGACATGGTCATCCTCGCCAGTGAGTAGCCCGCCAGCGCCCTGCTTTCTGGGGCGGGGGCCGGGATTCGGGGGGAGGGGGCAGGCGCCGAATGGTCTGGGCGGCTGTGATCCTGCGGGGTGTTGGCGCTTTGCAGGCAGGCCCGCCCCTCCCTGGAGCCCGGTGCTCAGGAGGGCTCACGGGTGTCCTCGTCACTGGAGTCTGCAGCTCCCTGGCACAGGGGACCCTCCCCACGCGCCCGGCCCAATGCCTGCAGGGAATCCTGAGTGCAGACAGGCAGAGACCCGGGCCAGAGGGCGTGAGCAAGAAAGACAGAGCTGCTCATCAGCTCAGACGCATCGGCCTCCTCTTTATCAAGGAAGCAGCCCCGGAGGACCCTGAGTGGCCGGGGCGTGGCCCGCGTGAGCTGAGGTCCCCGTGCCTGGCATCCCGTCTCCATCCTGCAGTTTTCCAGAAAGAAGGAAAGCCTTCCTGGCATCTCTGCCCACGGGACGCCCTGTGACTGTGGCGTGTGTGTTGTTTCGTTGGACAGCCAGGACAGCACGATTTGCCTCCTCCTTGGGATCTCAGCGTTGCTCGTTGTGCTGCGTGAACCCTTGCCGATCATTTGGCCCGTACTTGGTGCAGACACAAAACTGTTGTGCGCGAGTGCTTAATGTTACAAGGTCAAGTTTACCAAAAGTGACTTGATGAACCTTTAAAAAATAACTTGGCAATATGCCTGGAGATAAACCTAACCGAAGAGGTGAAAAATCGATACGCTGAAAACCATAGAAAGCTTATGAAAGAAATCGAAAACGAGACACCCCCCAAGATGGAAAAGCGTTCCATGCTCCTGGATTAGAAGAACAAATATTGTTAAAATGTCGATACTCCCCAGAGCAGTCTACATATTCAATGCGATCCCTATCAAAGTAACACCAGCATTCTTCACAGAGCTAGAACAAACAATCCTAAAATGTGTATGGAACCAGAAAAGACCCCAAATAGAGAAAGCAACCTTGAAAAAGAAAACCAAAGCAGGAGGCATCACAATCCCGGACGTCAGGCTGTGTTACAAAGCTGTCATCATCAAGACGCTGGCACAAAAAGGGACACACAGATCAATGGAAGAGAATAGAGAACCCAGAAACGAACCCACAAACCTATGGCCAACTAATCTTTGACAAAGCAGGAAAGAATATGCAGTGGAAAAAAGACTCTTCAGCAAGTGGTGCTGGGAAAACTGGACAGCGACACAAAGAAAAATGAACCTGGGCCACTTTCTTACATCATACACAACAATAAACTCAAAATGGATGAAAGACCTCAATGTAAGACAGAAAGCCATCAAAATCCTCGCGGAGAAAGCAGGCAAAAAACCTCTTTGATCCTGGCCGCAGCAACTTCTTACTCAACCCGTCTCCAAAGGCAAGGGAAATAAAAGCCAAAATGAACTACTGGGACCTCATCAACATAAAAAGCTTCTGCACAGCGAAGGAAACAATCCGCAAAACTAAAAGGCAACCGACAGACTGGGAGAAGATATTTGCAAATGACATATCAGATAAAGGGTTAGTATCCAACATCTACAAAGAACTTATCAAACTCAACAGCCAAAAAACAAATAATCCAGTGAAGAAACGGGCAAAAGACATGAATAGACACTTCTTCCAAGGAGACATCCAGATGGCCAACCGACCCATGAAAGAATGCTCAACGTCACTCATCATCAGGGAAATACAAATCAAAACCACAATGAGATACCACCTTACACCTGTCAGACTAACGTTAACAACTCAGGAACAGCAGATGTTGGCGAGGATGC